GAGCATATAAACACAAAATATTGAAACGTCGCAGTGTAATATGGCCTAATTACTAAATGCCAGTTAGTTTTTACCTTGTGCGGTAATTGTCATCAACACATTTGGAAAAATAGATCATGATTCCATATTCTCGATATCTATTAAAACATGATACTGTGAGCATATTTCACATAGTTTTATGACACCGTTTATTATAAAATAACTAATAGATCGAAACTGAATTATAAGGCGCAAGAAATAAACTCTATTATTACTTAATATAGACCAAATGACATGGATAAATAGCGCCATGCCATAATAACTCATAGTTTTAAACCAAATGTCACTTCAGTATCGCGTCTGATATACAGGTTGATTGCGTGAAAATCGCACCGACATATAAATACTAATGATTTATGGAGCGCAACAAAATCTACCTAATGACTTAGAAATCTAGTTATGTTATCTGTTTTTTTAAAGTTCAAGATAACTTAGAAATCTAGTTATGTTATCTATTTGTTTTAAAGTTCAAGATAACTTAGAAATCTAGTTATGTTATCTATTTGTTTTAAAGTTCAAGATAACGACAACTTGCGCATGTGTTAAATAACCTGGCACCGAGTCACAAAACATTCTCAGGCTTAAGTTAAGAATTTACTCAACTTTCAAACACAAAACTTTGCACATAGTTTCTTATTGATATATTTGATACATTAAAACAACAAAAGTTTTTTAAATTCTATATTTTAGTTAAAATAAGGCGAACAATTTTGAGTAAATTCCTAAAACTTAAGTCTGAGAATGTTTTGTGAACTCGGGGCCTGAAGATACATACTGATTAAAATAGATCTACTCATCATAAAATGAGTCAAAACTTGATTTTAAAAAGTAGTAGCAGCAACTAATTGAAAATCTTCATGTATGGAACGCAACAAATCCACCCTCTAAGGCCCTAAGAAATAAAAATGAAATAAAATGGGGTGTAACGTTCTACTGTTCTGCTCCGACTGGGCTAATGAAGACGGGTATACGCCATAGAGTTTGTTAAGTTGCAGTAAGTAGGCCGGTGATTCATGAACAACAGTTATTAGTACGGCGTACTTATAAAGTGAGTCCTTCGCCCAAAAGGCGCTTTGTGTACAATATAAGCACAGAATAGAGAAGAAAATACAAAACAAAAAGATAAATAGATCAATATAACAATAATGTTAAAATAACATAAAATTGGGTAAAGAAGGCTTCAATGAATAGATAAGTCTTGACTCTTAACCCAAAACCAAACAGCAAGACGAGTTCATTATATTTGGTCTTTGGCTCAACTAGCAGTAGATCTTCACCACGGGATTGTATATTTCCTGATACCTATGCTGTCGTAGTTGGTTTTGTAGAAGTAAGATAGCAACAATTCAATAAGACATTTTGTATAGTTGATATTCAATTCAACACGATAGTTTGGTCCTGAGAGTGAATCTAAATCATAAGACCATATAAACCCCTAGTGATGTATAGTCAGTACAAATTACTCATTGAAAGAGAACCGGCGCACTACTTAATCCAAATGGAACTTCAATTTGGTCTTAGTTATACATCAAAAGGCGATAAATCTTGATTTACGGTTCACCATGTCTAGCATTTGATATCAGATCATATTTTTGTTAATTAAATATTTATTATTATGACGGGTTGTGGTGTGGATAAATACATTATATCGTGTAGTGTTAGAATAGATGGGAGAGATAAACACCAGCCTTGACTTGATGTTTATTTGGATGGATTTATGATAATAGTAGTTACAGGTCAATAATACACCCTCTATAACTGAGAACTTGGACATCATGTGGTTTGCAATCTTGACGAATATTCACGTAGATTATTCTAATCAACCGATAGGGTTGTATTATACTAGGATACCTTTTAGGATAACGAAATGATATGACATGAAATGGGGTTTAACATCCTACTGGACTAATGAAAACGGACATGCGTCATACATAACAACTTTCCAAACCCTCAGTCCTGTATCACTGGCGGGAGGAAAACCACGTCGAAAAATCCTGATGAACTTTCTCGGCCAACGCAGGGATCGGTCATGAGACCTCCGGGTTAGCCAGCCAACTTCTTACTCACTGCGGGGATCACGTAGCTAAGTGGGTAAGACGCTGGCTCGCTAGCCTGGAGGTCGGGTGTTCGATCCCTGCATTGGCCGAGAAAGTTCATTCAAATTTTCCGGCGTGGTTTCCCCTTGTCAGTGATGCAGAACGGAGGGCCTGACAAGGACAGCTGTCTAGTCGTTCTGATGGTACGTAAAACCGAGGTCCCGTGCACGTAAAATACCGCCGCTGCCCGGGCAAAATTTCCCTCATCGCACACTGTATGGCGTATGCCCATCTTCATCAGCCCAGGTTAGGAGCAGAACAGTAGGACGTTAAACCCCATTTCATTTCATTTCTTACTCACTGAGTCACATCGGTATCAGAGAAACTAATATTACTTCAGTTTTATTTCTCGAACACCTTATACACTTAGAGCCACATCTTACCGTAAACGAATATCGCTTGTGATAAAACACAAAAATTGTTTCCTGTGTTCTTATTTCCACACATTTGCTGTATTTAGTTTCATGAGAAAACGTCATTTAATTTTGTTTTCGGTAGGCTCTGTAACTAATTCCCAAATGGGTTGAGAATTTAGAAATACTCGTTTTTTGTGTCATTAAACGACATCAAGGAAGAAGCCGATCCATAATTCTTATCAACAAAGCGTAATATTACAGATAACCAAGTTTTGTAATAACATGGTTTTAACGCTCATATTATAGAGAAACACTTTTATAATAACATGGTTTTAATGTTCGTGATTAATAGCCGTGAAATATTCAATATTTCAAATAATCTCGTTAGTGTCTTTAAGTTACAGTCAATATACGACTTGTTTAAACTGAATAACAAATCAGATTAGCGTTGAATCAATCAACAATGAGTGTTATCAGGTGTTTGTAGAATGGAATGATATTCGATCATGCGACAACGCTGATATTTACAAATCATTTATATATTTTTGAGAATAGTGTCATCAACACCTCAAATAGAGAGTGCTTTTGATTGCAGTGTGTGATATATAAAAGCCGAGTTCATTATAGTAGATTGGAAGTTTTAGATAACTGAAAATCACATCAATTCCACAAATTACCCGTGGTTCATTGATTTTTATGGTCTGATATTTCAATTTCAAGCTGATGAAATGTAAGCAAACATGACGCCATTAGGCTTACACGTGTGTATACTGTAATAATTCACGATGATTGAGTCTGGACAAACAATATAGCCTATTTATATTGATGAATGTCTTGATAATATAAATGAACATCAATAAAATGAAGTAAATATAACGAACGGAATGACAATGAATTTTAAATATATTTCTACGTTTATGTTCAACATAATTTTTTATATATTTCAATCAGATCACAGAAGCTCCGTTCGTTACATCTACTTCATTTTGTAGATGGTGATTTAGCTACATCATTAAAATTGCATTTCAACTGTCAAGGGTTATTTGACGAGCACGCCTTGTCGTCTCATCTGAACAACTATACACTGTCATTCAAAGCCCCCCCCCCACATCTTGCATCACTGACAAGGTTGAACCAGGCCAGCAAATCTAGATGAACCTTCGCCGCCAAAACCGGGCTTGAACCCGGAACCACCAGGTTAGCAAGTCAGCTCCTTGCTTATATGAGACTTATATGAGACAGTTGCCATGTCTTGATACAGTAGAATACAGATTGAAACTAAACTCACCATTCCTGTTTGCTTTGATCCAAAGAAAGTTAATCGATGCCTTTTTGACGGTTGTATAAAAGGTGTGATTAATAGGAATCAAATGAAATTGTGTTTAATGTCCTACATTCTGCACCAAATTGTGTTTAATGTCCTACTTTCTGTACCGAAGGTTAATAGACGTAGAAAGTAAAATGAAATGAAATGGGGTTTATCGTCCTACTGTTCTGCTCCTATACTGGGATAATGAAGACGGACGTAGGGAGTAAAGCACTGGAGATTCTTTTTACTGGTTTAGCATACGAAAGAAATGATTAACACGCTGCCAATGCTCGTTAACATTACGTGATGTTTATCTGCTGGGAATACTACCATAAACGAGTATCATATAAATACATGTATTTATTCCCAGTGAGTTCCAAATGTAACGACTTTGACTTAAGAAAAAATATCTAGCAAAAGATTTTGCACTAGTTTCGATGTAAACACCCCATCATGAGGAAATATTATCCTTGAAAATAAGTGTATGTACAGTTGGTTTCCGGTGACGTTTCTGCTGTCAAAGCATTTTGTACGACAAATTTCAATAGTTATAACTAATATTTTAATAATATTATAACCTCAGTAACGAATCCCGTTTTAATGTTAGCAACTACCTTGGCTCTAACTTTAAAAACTAAATAGGCCCTCCAGCAACTGCCGCCTCAGGCCTTGGTGGAGCTTAATCCGCCACTGATTATGTGGAAAAGAAATGAAATGAAATGGGGTTTAACGCCCTACTGTCCTGCTCCAACTGGGCTAATGAAGACGGACATACGCCATACAGTGTGCTAGGAGAGAAATTTTGCCCATACAGCCAGCCTACTTTTATATAGAATTATAACTGCCAAGGGATCATTTACGTGCACGCCAATGTATACACGGGATCTCGGTTTTTCATCCAAGCCCGAACGACTGTGTTATGTGGACGAGACAATAAACCCCATGTCATTATAAAATAAATGGCATCAGGTGTTCCAGAAAGAGTAAGCATGTCCTTGACCTAATCAACCGAGAGATTAAATACTCTAAAATAAAATTGGTATTAATTCATTTGTTACTCCCCACACAAGCTGTTTCTCCCTTGACAATGAGGCAGCGTTTGATTACTAGTCTGTTATAGTGCATACAGTCGATATGCCAATCAGATACAATTCATAAGGGTCTAGTACCAGAGAACACTTACTGAATATTGGACAGAATAGGATGGAATCATTATCAATGTGGCTTGCGCTCAATCGGGACGTATAAAAACACTTTGATACCACACACGAGACGGGTGATAAAAACTGGAAGCCAGTGAATATGTTAAAGAAGCGGGCACTTGTCTGTCAATGGTGGTAACAACCGTCCACACTAGTTGTGAATTAAAAGTTTCTAGTCAGACAAGTTTCAGAAACCTGCCTGTAACTGTGTGTGTTGGTGTGATGGCATGGGACTAAGAAGCGGGCACTTGTCTAGCAATAGTGGTAAGCATCCGCGCTAATTGTAAATTTTATATTTTCTTGCATGACAAATTTCCGAAATCTGCTAAAAAAAAGTGGCCACTGGACTTGGTGAAGCGTGACTAGGAAAACACTAGTAACAGTACGATGTGACAAGTCATATAGGTTGCGGAAATGACGTCAAGTCGCAAGTAGGAAGATGGTATGATAGACGTTAAACGACATCGATGATACATTGATATATAACAGTCATTCCTATTTTGTAGACACAAAATCAACTAGATCATTGGCGTTTCTAAATAACTCAACACATTTATCTGGAGATCTATTCAATATTTTAATGACGATTTTGTGTAGAATAATATTTCCAGGATTTTAGGAGGCAGATCAACACGGAGATTGTTGAAAATGTTTTAAACTGTTGTCACGTAAATATCAAATTGATTACAATCCAAGTGATACGATCACTATTAGATAAAGTACTTCGTGAAATCACATTTATTTCAATAAATGTGGGTTTTTTTGGACGTATCAAAAGCTGATATTAAAAGTGGAATAACCATAGCTTTGTTTACGAATCGTTCAATTGAAAATGAAGGTAAGTGTCTTATTTTTGTGTATGTTGCTATATCAAGGTTGACTGATAATATATCTTAACTGTTATCTACGCTGTTTTTGTTCAATATCTGAATTGTTCAGGATGTGGGTGTTGTGATTGGATTCGCCGCGGTGCTTTACAACGCTTCCCAGACCCGTAGACAGTTCACTCGTGACCTTAGGACCCACTGTCGTTTGGTTTGCCATTAACCCGACATTAGGGCACCGCCTATCCCCAGCGACCGCCCACTCATGCAATTGCTATCCAGACACATTTTAGAAAATAAAGTCTGTCATTTTAAAATTGAAATAGACTCATGACCGCTGTCGTCGGGGCCTATTTTCGGAGCACGTCCCTCTGGCCATGTCAATTACAGGGAAAGGTAGGGACCCCCAGGCGTTGGCAATTTGTGAAAAATACATGGTCTCTAGCGTTAATCTGGCGTAGATCTGCGGAAAGTCGACGAAGTCACTGCCAATACACAGAAACTGACAAACTAGACTGTGCGGGTGACTATGATCGATACCTATATATTAATTCATGTCGACGACTAATGCAACTGAAGAATCATGAGCTCGAAATATAAGTATGATCCGGCGGAAATTATATTATCTTTTAAATTTAATACCCCCTGAAGAGTAGAATATCTAGCGTATATCCAGGAACAATAAATTCTGTTGAATCAAGAAATAAACGAAATAAAAAATAAAAATTTCAGAGATGGCGGCGATGTAAAAATTAAAGCGAATATGCCAGACTGGAGACCAGACAAATCCAAGCAAGTTCGAGTTTTATAGGAGACTGGAAGAGACAGAGAAAGAAATGGGGTTTAACGTCCACACAACACAAACTAGGTCATTTCGGGACTAACATATGGTTTAATTTTACTTCAATAATTCGCTTGCGCGTAGGGGTCTTTAGCAGTGGGGGGGGAACCGGAGTACCCGGAGAAAACCCACGAGTTTGGAGAGACTGGAAGAGATCGGTATAGCGACAAAACAACAAATCATAACTCAGATTCAAACTTTCATAAAATATGGATTTTGTGGAATGGTGAGGCTCTCTTAGATATTTCGCGCGCCTTTTTGGGATGAAATTGTCTGAGAACACGTGTCTTTATTTCGCAGAGCACGGACGTTCTCCAACTGACGCGCATTTTTGCCCAAATTAAAACTTCTGAGAGCACGACTTTATTTCCCCAATGCACGTTAAAATAGGGTCTGACTGTCGTGTTGGGTTACAATTCACTTTAAACCTGCTTATCGTCGTTGTCTCCCATCTCGTAAAACAGAATAGAACATTGCAAGTTCCAACGCTAGAAAACCATCATGTTGCGAGCACATGTTACACAATGTTCTGACAAGTAAAACCATCATGTTGCGAGCAAATGTTACACAGTGTTCTGACAAGTAAAACCATCATGTTGCGAGCAAATGTTAATGACAAACTTTAAATATCAATATTTATTACATGATAACTCATTGTGTCATACTAAATCATTATTCCATTTAAAGCACACCTTGTCACGAATACATCAAATCCTGTACAGTTTGATGCATGGGGTATTAGATCAAATAAAAATAATTTAATGGATTTTAATGTCTTACTTCTCAGCATTAATCACTCTAATTAAGACCGCCAAGGGTTCTTTTACGTACACGCCAATGTCTACACATGGCCTCGGTGTTCCGTCCCATTCGGACGACTATGCGTTGTCCCTTGCCAGACCCTCCGAGCTGCACCGCTGACAAGGGGAAATGATATCAGAGTTGACCATAGTGCCGCTATCTGGGCAAAATGTCCGTCATATACTGTGTGGCGTATGCCTGTTTTCGTTAGTCCAGTCGGTGCAGAACAGTAGGAGGCTAAAACCCTTTTTTATTTTCATTTCTAATGAAGCCGGTCAAACGGTATGTGGTGCTCACCCGATATATGTAGTGCTATATTTGCCCAGACATTGGTACTCCGACATATCGGACATGGGTTTGTCGTCTCATCCACACAAATTGCCGGGCTTTCCGTCCTGCATCATGTAACACCAGGAGTGATCCAGGAATCTCCTTTGTTAGTGAGTCTGCACCCTACACACCAAAATTAGATCAATTCAGTAACTCGACATTTGAATGGTTCGTTTACTAGTCAGGTTTAAAAGTAGAAGTATAGTGGCTTTCTTTTAGAATGATCAAATTAAATGTGAAGATGATATTTAAGATTTTATACCTCTATGGTGACTGCTTGGTTAGTGGCAAGCTTTAAACTTAAAGCTTTCTTTGAGATAATTTATGATGTCGCTAATAGGTTATTGCGATATATGATAAAATGTATGTACTTACGCGGCATACCTTTTTTTTTATTTTCGTATATGCCAGTACAGTTAATAGTCACTGGACTTTCACAGATATCCAACTCGTCGAATGAATCGAATATACACGATTGGCTGCAATAATATATATATCTTGTTTAACCAGATATTAATAAAAGCGTACAAGGCAGTAATGGACGCTTATTGTCTAAGAGCAACATATGCCAGTCCCATGAGATAACGCTAGACATAAAATAAAATGTATTCGGTCAGCGTCTGGCAATGTGTAAACTACAATAATGGCCGCTCTGGTGAAACAGTCTTGAACCAACGATGACAATGAGCAACTTAGATAGAACGCCCCATTCTCAAATACATCATATACATTACAAGAATGACTGCCCTGATGAAACAGTCTTTAACCAACAATGCCAATGAGCAACACAGATAGAACGCAACATTCTCAAATACACCATAGACATCACAATTAGATATACATTAACAGCGAATATACACAATCAAAACAGAAAATATATAAATATTTAACGAAAACATATTTATTTTGGAACTAAACCTGTTAGTTTGCTGGCTTTTATCCATTTGGAAAATATGGGGATTCCCCCTGGGATCCTCAGTAGCCATGGTTATAACCATGTTAAAAAATTGCTGATTAATAATACCAAGAGAATTGGTTATTTTCTACAAATATAGAAATTGAATTGTTACGTGTGGTAAACACAAAGTTCAAACCATGTGTGAAATCGATCAAACTTTCAAATGGAAGTGGGGTATTTTTTTTTTTTTTTTTTGTGAAGTGTTAAATTGGTTTGTTCACATCCAAATTTGACGGACTTCAGCTAGTCAGTCTGGTGGCTTGTCCTGAACGAGAGAGAGAGAGAGAGATGAGAGAGAGAGAGATGGTTTATCTTCCACTCGACACAAACTAGGTCATTTCGGGACTAACATGGTTCAATTTTATTTCAATAATTCGGTTGCGCGTAGGGATCTTTAGCAGTGGGAGAAAACCGGAGGACTCAAAGAAAATCCACGAGGTTGGACAGGTGACCCTAGTCCTTGTGACGTACAACCAGGGAATCGAGTGTTGAAAGGGAAATAGATCCAGATGATTTCCTGGTAATAACCTTCCGAAATGCAATTTCCAATTTTTCCAACATAAAACAGAATAATAATTCTATGAAATCGAATCCGTGAAATTTGTTGGGTTGATCTTTCTGTAATACCACTAACAGGTAGAAAATTATAACTTTATTACAAAACAACCCCGTAAACTGTGAAATTCTAATTTCGGAGATCTATGCGCAGACAAAGTTATAAAATAAAGATGAACCATTAGTTACTCCCGATTCCAAATGATCTTGGGTTTGTGTTGAAGGGAACATTAGCCATTGTTTCCTCTCTGGTCTGTAAAATATGAAATTCTAATTTTTAAGCTGGTGTATTGAAGCCACCTATAAAATAAAGATAACGCGATTTGAAATGATCCTAGTTTGTGTCAAGGGAACATTAACCCGTATTCTTTTCGTTCTTTATATTCTTCTTCTTCTGTTCAGCCTCACTTGTTCTTCATCCTCCTGGGGGGTGGGGGGGGCGAATGGAATGGTTAGCACGTGCACGCTATATCATAAGGCCTGTCATTGAGTCAAATGGCGTGGTTTCGATTCCGCCAGTTGTACGTGACAAGGAGTATGGTCGCCTGTCCAACCTCATGGGTTTCTCCGGGTCCCCCGGTTTCCCTCCCACTGCTAAAGACCCCTACGCGCAAGCGAATTATTTAAATAAAATTCAACCATATGTTAGTCCCTAGTTTGTGTCGAGTGGACGTTAAACCCAATCTCTCTCTCTCTCTCTCTTCACCCTCCTGTCTTTATTAGCCCAGTCGGAGCAGAACTTAATCAACCTTCCTTGTTCCATTATCTTATAACTATTTATACAGTCGTTTAATTAGTTTGTTTCATGAGGTGCTCCACATGGTCTAGCGAAAGGAACATGAAACAATCAAATTTGAAGGTCTATAAATCTTGACAGTTGGGAATCGAGAAGGGGTAGGGCATAAACGCCGCTGTCCGAGTAAAACCGCGTACACTACTCGCGTACCTATAGAAAACTGACCGAGCATTGTATTGAAGAAGTATTAAACCCCACTGTGACACATACGACCAGCACATTTCTACAATCAAAGACAACCTGTTTCGTTTACTACAAGAATCAATAAAAGAACAGAAGCTGCAGGTGTTTGATTCCAACACTTGATTGTAGTGTAATGGACTTTAACTGAATTAACTAAGTGGATAATCATACTAATATAGGGAATGAACTCATGAATGGAGTAGAACGCTAGTTACAAGCTTCTAGTGAAATATTAATAAGGTTGTTAAGTAGGGTATAATCACTGTTACAACTGAACTCTATTACAAAACTGTAATTATTTATAATACAGAAAGGTCTCGTGTACACATTGACGTGCACGTAAAAAAAACCCTGGAAAGTTGGAATGCGAAATATGAGGAGACAGTGGCGCCGCTGTCCGGGCAAAATGCATCCCCTAGCACACTGTATGGCGTATGCCCGTCTTCATTAGTCCAGTCAGTGCAGAACAGTAGGACGTTCAGCCATATTTCCTCTTAGATAAAGCCTAATGTACCCACATAGAACATGAGCAAGGAATGGATTTTTGATGACAAGCCATGTTTTTCTGTGGCTGGACTATAGGTAACCAAACGGATGAGCTTGTAGATTTTAAGATAACTTCATAATAACCAATTTTACAAGGAATTTGTTTGTGTTCAAGCGACGAGGTGTAAATAGCTGTTCATAAAAAATAGATGAACTTGCCTTGGAATATTTGGTTTGTGTACCCCCTATAAATGTCAAAACACTTAATGCTGTTTTACTGGTACGCTTTACTGAATTAACATTTACAACCGTAGACAAATTCGCTTTTGTTTTAAAAGGATCATACTTCTATATTGAATTATGGAATAGTTTCAAAGGCTAAAAAGTAAATAGGATCAAATTATGCTATATGAAACCTGGATGTAAAATGAGCCCATTGAGGATAATAAAATTATCTTGATAGCAAACAGCTAATGCCTGGCGTCAACCAAGTAGCCAATGTTGAAAACAAACTAATGACAAAAAAATATAAAATATAATAAAAACTCCACGTCCCATCCACCGAGTAGCGAATGACAAAATGATAGCAAACAACAGATACATGGCGCCAACCAAGTACCCAATGTTGAAAACAAACTAATGACAAAAAATGATCAAGGCCCGAAATTGCTTTTAGAATATATCCCCCCTCCAACCCCCGTATGACCGAATGGTTATCGCGTGCGCGCTGTATCATAGGGTCTGTCATTGAGTCAACTGGCGTGGAGTCGCCTGTTCTACCTCGTGGATCTTCTTCGGGTCCCCCGGTTTCCCCCCACTGCTAAAGACCCCTACGCGCAAGCCGATTATTGAAATACAATTGAACCATGTGTTAGTCCCGAAATGATCTAAGTTGTGTCGAGTGGCCGTAAAACTCCATTTCTCTCTCCCGCCACCCCCCACCCCCCACCCCCCACACACTTCAAAAAATACAAAATGCAATCAAGCTATAAATTATCCCTGGAAGTAAACAACTGATGGGCACAAATTTTATACATGAGATGAAGAATTCCAGCCATAATGATGGTAAATGCCGGATTAAAAGGTTCGTAATGGAAACAAAATACGATAAGTGTTGGTAGGGACGTTATTATTACATTTATCCTGTGGTGAAACGTGTGGGATTCAAATCATTGAGTCATGTTTCGACTCGTGGTCTGTACGTGACAAGGAGTAGGGTACTCTCTCTTTTCTCGTGTTTTTTGTTCTGGCATTCTCATTTGCACCCACTGCAAAATACCTCAACCCGAAACTGAAGTATTGCATTTAAGCTGTATAAAACATAATCTCTTGTGTTCAAGTGGCGCCAAACTATATCTTGTAGAAGAATCCCTTAATAGGAACGAGATGTATAAAGAACTATAAACGAATGTGCACTCCTTTTCTTTGTATTCTTAGCCTTGACTAAACTTTGCAGTTATTCGAGAAAACCCAAAGTTCAACTTATTCCCTAACGAATAACGTTTCATTATTTTCAGCACCTCACTAGTTTCACGCTGAGGTACTTCATTCATTTTCTTTAGATTGCATGCGATGAGTTGTGTTTATTCACTGGGGATTGTGTCATTATCGTATTGAAGCCGTCAATACAAGGAGTTGATTAAGTGATTTACGCCACGGTGCCTGCTGATCGCTTTCATAAGTACATTTGTCAGCAAGTAAATGGACGATGTAGTAGAGTGCTGATTGCCTTCACATAAGACTTTGTACGGAAAGTTTAAAGAAGATGAAGTATGTACTATTTTAAGAATCTAAGAAACATCAAACGGGAAGATTTGGCTGATTTTTTGCTCGACTGTCAGCCTATGATCAAGAAGTATGTCGAAGAAATGATTTATGTTTTTTGGATCCAATTTATTGGTTCTGTTTTTTAAACAGATTATTTTGGTGGATTATTGATAGAGAACCGCTTAATGCTGATTTTCTTCTACGAAACCTAAAATGAATTTTAGTATATTTTTTAATTTTTTTTATATTTTCAGTAGGAGGTGAATCTACCTAAAAAGAAGTACGATTTATAATAATATGCATCCATAGAACTAAACCGTTGAGATGGGAAAGTGTACGAATACGTAACCCATACTAGAACCACACACGTGTACCAATCGGCTGAGATGCCTTTACCAACGTGCATTATGAAGTGCAATGTTTATTACCTTACATGCATCACGTTCGCGTTTGGTGGCGTGACAATTGGTGCTTTAGCATTAGCTGTTGGCACTGATTCCTGGTTATTAACTAAAGAACTGATTTTAATGCGAGATGAGAATAATACTATATTTGAAGGATCTCCTAAAATGTGGATGTCAACAAGAAGCGGCTTGTGGAAAATTTGTATTATATACGATGTCTTAGGTAAAGTATACATTTAATATCTTGTTTGTTTATCCCTTTAAAGTACGGCAATGCTTCCTTTTCGCTCCTACGGTATTACTGATATCCACGGTGATCTGCGCTCTTCCATGAATTCTTAAGTCCAACACTTTTAGTCGGGGGGGGGGGGGGGTCTGGGTCGGCTTGGAAAAGTAATATTTTATAAGACAAGATCTTTATTTAAGTACCGTAACTTTTCCCGAAACTAGTTGTTCATGCACTCCAGAACGACTTATATAACCCAAAGTCATATGTGATAAGGTACAAGAACCATATCACCTATTACAATTTGAAACCACAATCCATAGAACTAATAGTAAGTGATGGAGAAAAATGTCACAACCAAACAGATAAACAAGGTCCTGGAAACAGGAGCGTATTCAGGCCCCCCCCCCCCTCTCTCTCTAGACATGCGTCTGGCACAATTATAAGGCACATAACACACCCAAGACGCGAACATTGGAACGTACAGGGATGTCAAACATACGGCCCACGGACCTGATCCGGTGCGCCCGTGGAACAAATTTCAACAAACTGACGTGTCGATAATTCTTAGAAACTAGTGTTGGAAACCATTTATTATTGTTTTACGGGTTCAGTAAAACTCTGACTTCTGTACTGTATGTCATAGATATCTAAGTTGTATGTAATACAAGAGAAAGTTGTGTTCAATATCTTAGCAATTTGTAAACCAGTCTAAAAAAATTACAAGTGTCAAGAACGTTTTGCTTTGTTTTTAGAATTGTTGTATATCGCCGGCTCATTTGATATTAAATTTTAGTTCATGTGGCCCCTGAATCGACATGAGTTTAACATCCCTGGTCTAGGGGTAATCGCCTGTGTATCACAGATAAATCCTTAGGACAAAACACACCACATTGGGTTAACTCGTCCAAAAATGGTTGAGTTTGTATAGATTTGTTAATATACACTTTACATACACAGCCATGTGTTTTCGACACAATCTGAATTATGATAAACCAGATATCAATATCTATTCGATATTTTCCTTTAATTTAACGTACAAACATCAGAAAATAAATAAATCGAAATGTAAATCTAATTGAATTGAATGAAAAATTTTGGGGGGGTTTAGATTATACGTATACAGTATACAATGACGACAGTAAGTATACATGTGGATATACTCAAATTATAATTTATCCACTATCAAACCCTGTCAGCTATCTTACTTCTTGATGGATCCAATCTAAACTTTTTTTTCTAATTTATTGATTAAAGCCAGGATAAGAATTAATTACTGTCCACAATTAGCAACTTGGGATCGACACACGACACTTGGATCGATGATAAACCTTTAGTTGATCAACTTAAATGATTTATGTTGTTCCGAACATAAAATACATGTAGATATTGTAGTGGGGCGAATTCTAAGCCAATTCTAAATAATCCATACCCAAATACATCATACGACGTACAAAACCAAAATTTACATGCCCCCCCACCCTCCCAACACAACACTTCACTTAGAAATTTCATATTGTTGGAGTTTATTAAACATTAAGAACTTTTACAAGGATAGTTAAACTCGTTATTATTTTACACGAGGGCTATAATTCATCGACTTCCTCCATGTAACCAAGAATATAGAAATCTTAACAAACAAGATTCATCGTTTCTTTTATTAAACAACGTAAATCAGTAATGTTACAATATAAAATATTGTATTAAAATCATCCCAGATAGACCAGATTTAACTGTAATAAAATCAAGTTAAATTTAAAGTTATATTGTTACCGATTAACTAAGATATTCCTAGTGTTATGAATCCAATCTGTAATCATTTCTGCTATGAACCATGTCTATAACTATGCAGGACGTAGGGCCTGAAAAGGACAGCTGTTTAGTCGTTCGGATGGGACTTAAAGGACACGGCGCCGCTGTCCGGGCAAAAGTTCCCTCATAGCACGCTGTATGGCTAATGCCCATCTTCATTGGCCCAGTAGGATCAGAATAGTAGGACGCTAAACCCCATTTCCTTTTCTGCACTACTTAAATGTATGATTAAATTATTTATGTTGAATCGAATCAATACACCTCTACCGAGTGAGCCATATAGGGAATTCCACGACACCTCTTCCGAGTGAGCCATAGGGAATTCCCCGACACCTCTACCGAGTGAGTCATAGGGAATTCCCCGACATCTCTACCGAGTGAGCCATAGGGAATTCCGAGTGAGCCATATAGGGAATTCCACGACACCTCTACCGAGTGAGCCATATAGGGAATTCCACGACACATCTTCCGAGTGAGCCATAGGGAATTCCCCGACACCTCTACCGAGTGAGCCATAGGGAATTCCCCGAGACCAAGACAATGATTCTGAACCTCTTTTTGCCATCAGTACACCTTGGAACACATGAAAAAATAGCGGCATACCTGGCTAAATATATATATATATATATGAACAATATTTGAATTTTGCAAAATAAAAACATGGTAAGTCAGACGGAATACAACCGTAGACACAGACTAGTCATAGACACATAGAATGACTCCAGTTAAATAAAGAAAAACACAGCTATGAATTTATTAGTAGATACCAGTGAATACTCAACTGGGATCACGTGGTATATATTTAAACTCGAGTCACCACAGGACGGAGCAATCTAGGCGTCCCCAGATATACGAACAATTACATAGCACATTGTATTTAAAACCCTGATACAGTATCAAGATTCGTGAATAACTGATTGTCACTTGCAGTATCTTCTTCTGCTGTTTTTAAATCATGTGAGTTGATCCGTACCATGTAATTTACAGTAGCGAACACCGTTTCCTTTTATTGTCGTGTAAATTGGCAAAAATAGTCCATTCAGTTCTGTTTAACGAATGTCTCCTTGAATGTAACCTCACTAATGGCAGGATTCTGTTCAATTACGTTGAAGCTGTTTGGGTGATACAGAAATAATGATACCAATATACGAATAAAGAGATGGTTTCAAACCATAGATTTATATTATAGGCGATTAGAAGACGTAATGGTTATAAAGTCCGTAGTTAGGAAAGTAATGGGTATATAAAAGTTAATAAACACAAGATTGATGAAAATATAAAAATGTACTTTAAGGATGCATTATGTAAGAGCTAAATCTGCCTACTGTAGGAATTATTTTCTGGCTTCAAATCTTATATGAATTGGGTGGGTGTGGGGGGGGGATGGCCGAATGGTTAACACGTGCGCGCAGTATCATAAGGTCTGCCATTTTGTCAACTGGTGTGGTTTCGATTCTCCGGTTGTACGTGACAAGGAGTACTGTCGCCTGTCCAACCTCGTGGGTCTTCTTCGGGTCCCCCGGTTTTCCCCCACTGCTAAAGACCCCGACGCGCAAGCGAATGTTTGAAATAAAACTGAACCATATGTTAGTCCAAAAATGACCTAGTTTGTGTCGAGTGGACGTTAAACTCTCTCTCTCTCTCTCTCTCTCTCTCTTTCGCTCTCTCTCTCTGATAGCCCAGACTGAACATCCGCTAGATTTAAAACTTTAACGATAAAATGGGTAATCGAGACTTAGTCTCGGCTGTCCAGTACCGTTGCTACGATGATACACGATCTATGCTATATGTTCCCACACCTATAATGTCGTTAAGAATAAAGTAATTTGAATAAAATTTTCAATATATTCATTTTTCATTATCTAATTTTGAACGGTTATAGAAAGAACGGTCAACTGTTTATCTAAATCTTGCATAATATATCCTTAAGACATTATTACACAAGAGAGAGGGGGGGGGCCACTTTGGGACTAACATGTTCGCGTAGCAGAGGTAGGAGACCCGGGCATTCGGAGCAAACCCACAATGACAGACCATATGATCTAAAGCGTACACGAAAGTCAGGCCACTCGCCCCCCCCCCCGTTATGAATGCAAAACTGTTTGTGACCTGACCGCATTCACCACTATGATGGAACCCAATGGAAAACCCTTCAAAATATTAAAATTAAAAAATATCTAGACAGTCTCGAGTAACCAGACTTTATGTAATATCTTTATGATAAATCTAGTTATATGGGTATTGATCTAGTCTTTATTGGTCCAGACTTTGTCATGGTTGAATAATAATTAACGATAAAAATAATCTCTAATAGGAATATGAGTCCAAAAATGGTTCAATTTCTTTCTGTATTTACAGAGATATGACGAATTGACGAAAACCATCTATCTATGCTGGTTATTATTGGTTCAGACTCTATCATGATTGAATAATATTTGTTGATATATAGTATAAACATGATGATTAAATTTACATGATAGACAAAACTTGGTTTCATCAATCATCTGGGGGGTTGGAGAGCCAAATGGTTAGCGTGTGTGTGCTGTATCATAAGGTCTGTCATTGAGTCAACTGGCGTGGTTTCGATTCCCCGGTTGTACGTGGGTTTTCTCCGGGTCCTCCGGTTTGCTCCCACTGCTAAAAATTGAACCGTGTATTAGTCCCGAAATTACCTAGTTTGTGTCGAGTGGACGTTAAACCCATTTCTCTCCCTCCCTCGATCACCTTCTATTTGGATAGAAAATGAAGTGTCTTGAATGCCAATTACTAGACGTGTGACGGTCACCCATATCAGATAAGAGAGCCATTAAAGTATCTGGGGGGTGGGGGGTGGCCTAGTGGTCTTGGTGCCGCGCTTCGACCACTAGCTGGCCTTTCTTCTCTGGCTTGTGGTTGTGGCTTCAATGCCTGGTGTGAGCATATGCTGCTTGGAGATAGGGGCGTCGTCTCAACCTCCGTGGATTTACTCCGGTTTTCTCCCACAGGAAAGACTCCTGCGCGTGTGCTAAGGTAATAAAAATGAAAAATAAGACCTGTCTGCGATATCACCTTCGGTGGAAGCAGACGTTAAACACTAAGTACAACAACAACAAAGTCTCTGAGTTAGACTCTAAAGCTATAGAAGGGGCCCGGGACTGTACAGCGCAGTGGACGCTTACGGCTGGCCCCCGGATCCATTCACTTAA